ACCAAAAGTTTTATTGGGTGTATTTTCGGCCCTAGGAAGTGTTAGGGAGCATACTCGTGATCTAACCATTGAGAGGTTCGTCGTCGGTTGTCGTAAAGGATCCACTACTGTTCGTCGCAAGTCGGAATCCTGTCGAGGAACGGATCGCTTTTATTGCGCAGAAGAAAGGCAAACGACAGCTTAAAGCGAGGATCTCTTTGATTTTCATTTGGTTCGTGCAGCACCTATATTTCAAGATTTTGCGACTTTGCACTCTCCTGCAAATGTTTAAAACTGCCACATGCGATACTGCGAAATCAGCAGCAAGACCTCGAATAGTTCTACGCGGATCCGCTTTAACTAAGGCCCTTAAACAATCGTTGTTAACTTCCATTGGTCGTCCACAACGCTTTTCATCTTCAAGCGTCTCGTAGCCTACTCGGAATTTTCAGAAGTACCATTGTTCGGTATGGTTATTAGTGGTTCCAAGACTAAATGCACTGTTTGTGTCCTTAAATGTTTCCGTTACATTTCGACCAAGTTTAAATAGATACAAGAAAATTGTAGGAATGTGTCTTTTGTCTATGTTGCATTTGATGTTCTGTATAGATATAAAAAGGTGTTACTGGGCTAAACTATCACTATTTATAGATAGAGCGCAAAACAGACTTCAAGATGATATAGAAAGTACAAGAAACCTAATGAAACTTATTCAAAAACACAGCTACCAAAATAAAACTATCAAAAAGCGCAACAGCTTTATTACCAACCTAATATTTGCGTCCCATTTGAGCAGCCGTGCGGTCAACGATGCAAGAGCGAAACGTAGCCACAACAACAGCCCACGCAAAACCCTTCAAAGTTATGAATTCCCCAATCGGTTCCAAGCTTATTTCGAGATAGTAGCCCATAATCAACTACCTTCACTAACTAGACCGTAGGATTTAACAGAGGAATAGTGATCGATGAAAATTCCAGGAGTTCACTGTGAAAACATGAGCGGATCCAAAACACGCTGGTCTCAATAGGCAGTTCACAACCGAAAGCAAAAGGGTTAACAGTCATGCACAACGAAAATAAGAAAGACGGGAACCCTGAAAACATTAGTTAGCCCCACGGTCGAACACAAGAAATATATATTGATTTGTAAATTACTCACTTGTTACTCGTTTACCATAATCTTACTGCATTTCATTTCACCCTGCATGCCTCATTTGCTTGATAAATGAAGCGTAATCTCTCAAAAGCTCATATTTGTCTCATCGTATTTCTCCTCGGTTAATTCCACTAAAATTCATTCAGCAAGCAACAGATCGAACTATCCGGCCACAACGTTTCCATGCCAATCCCAATAACACGAACTCGGCGAAACAGTGGACCCATTGGTTTGATAGGCTTGCTTATTTTTTGGAAACTATCGACTCAATGCCGTTCAGTAAGTTGAGGATTCTGGCGAATTACATGTCCCCTGATGAATACGACCACATTGAAACTCTCAAAACTATGTAGATCTAACCGAAAAATGTAATTTTTGCACGTCATGTTCTAGCTACTATAAAGTAACAAATAGCGATACCCTGGACAATTTCATGCAGCAGTTGAAATCACTAGCCCAGGATATTAGCTTCAAAACGGTCACGGCAGAGAAGGACTGCGAAAACATCATTCAAGATGCATTCATGACTGGGCTTCACTTTAAAGCTATACATGAATGTCTTTAGGAAAATATTTCACTCGACCAACATAATGCTTTTGAACAAGCCCGATCCGTCGAGATGGCCTATCGTCTGCCACAGTTATGCCAATCAAAAAACGCTTATGGTGCATTTCCAGCAAATCACCCCGAACCTTTGCATGCGTCAAGTTCCTCAGTAATGCAAGGTAACAATGTCGCCGCTAGTGTATCGAATAACAAGTGTTTCTTCAGGAGGTTCAACAGACCTAGTCGATCTCAATGCCCTACGCGTGACGCCATTTGCAACGGTGAGGAAAAGGACATTACTAGAAAGTTTGACGTTCCTCATAAAAGGTACTGCTTCAGCTCTTCATGGTTACCTTATATCACGGTCGAAGTGGTGCCAAACGGTCTCTCCCACGCCATCATCGATGTAGCCATCAACAAGGTTTCTCTAAAGGCTTTGATTGATACAGGAAGCACTGAGAGCTACAATGCCGCATCAGTTGTCAAGCAATTCTCATTGCAAGATTTTAATGACTGGCAAGTCTCACTTAAGAATTTTCATTGGTAATCATCCTTTTGTAGAAAGATCATCATTGCAGAGGTGTTAAACTGTCAGTACTCTCTTGGGACACGATTTTCTCAAGAGTCATCAATTTGTCCAAATTCTATTCTTTGGTGAACAACCTCCCTGTCATTGTGTGCACTATTTAGCTGCCGATGTGGATTTCCTCTCTGTTTGGGAACGATGGTTTCACCTACAAGTCGATCGCCACAAGATCGAAGCGTCGCTCTACTACGGGCGAGAGGTTCATTTGTATGGAAATACAGGCTTCTCAATGACGGAATCATCGAACGCTCGGTATTCCCATGATGAGCTCAAGTTACAGCAAGTAAATACAGAACACAGAAACGCCGTATGGTTGTTGATTACAGCCAAACCAGTAACCAGTGCACTCATCTGGATAGGCACGCCTGGCCAGAATTGACGCTCTTATCGACAAAATTTCCCATTACTCGGTGAACAGCACTTTAGACCTAGTAGGGCAAACGCAAGTAAATTCACCGCATGTAGAGTCTACGAAAATTTCATCCAGTTCTGTTGCATAATTTTTGGTGTCACCAATGAAGTCGCTTGTTTTAAAAGGGTCATCGTTAAAGTAATAGCCGACGGGAATTTGAACGCGACATTTTGCCTAAATTGACAACATAACGGTGTGCGGCGCAACCAAAGAAGAGCATAATTGCAATTTACCAAATTTTTACGAAGTCGCACGAAGATACATGACATTCGGTGAAGGTAAAAGCATTATACAATCGCACGTTTTCACACGAGGTTATTCGACCAGACACAGACCGACTTCATGGATTGAGATGGCTGCCCGCACCCATTGGCAGCATGTTGTGGGACTTGTTGCATATGATCCCCAATGAATCATATTTCTCCGACAAAATCTGCCTGCTAATCAATAATTGCTATTTCCCCCTCCCCAATTTGGTTGTGGGGTCGTTCAAAAAATCAAGAAAGTGACGGAAAACTTCATGATCGTCCCTATTGATGACCCCATACCCTTAGTCAATAGATGCAACTGATATTGCTACGCCGCCATACTAACACAGAACAGACGACCAGTTGCTTTCTTCTCACGGACACTGTGCGCCAGTGAGCGACGCCATGTTACTGTCGAGGAGGAGGCACATGCTGAGTTAATCCGCGAATGGCGGAGTAACTCAATAAGTAACTGCATCACTATTATCGCTGATCAGCGATCTGTCTCGTTCACGTTTAACTTCAGCCACAGAATGGTAAGATCAAAAATGATAAAATTCAGCGCTGGCGCGTTGAACTTTTGAGCTGACTTACCGCAATGGAAGCGATAACGTGGCTGTAAACACTTTACCTCGCACATGTGGCTCATTGCAATCACACGCCATGACACCAGTAATTACATGGTATCCTGTGCCATCCCGGAATCACCAGAATGTTTAATCTGGTTCGTTTACGGAATCTACGGCGATGACGGCCTGCTGTAGCATTTATGCTGCGATGAAACCCTGATTTTATAAAGCGTCCGGAACGTTGATCAAGGCAACGCACCCTTTGAAAGAGTGAAAATGGGTTACAAGGGTCTTTGCTGTTGGCAACAAACAATAAGTACCTGTTCATCATCATCGCTAAGGAATACTCTCGCTTCCCGCTTGCGTTCGTACGTAGTGATATGGACGTATCGACCGCGATCAGCTGCCTAAACCAACTAATTGGTCTTCGGCATAGCAGCTTATATTCATCTTGATCACGGTCCGTCGTTCATGTCTCAGGACATGCGTCATTGTCTAAAGAAGAAAGTTATTGCAGTCAGGTGGACAACACCGTATAACCCTCAGGGTAATAGGCAGGTAGAACGTATTAATAGGGTCACCTGGGAATCCATTAACTTCTCGCTTAGACCCAAAGGTCTCTAAATGACTCGGTGGGAAAGTGTACTGCTGGACGTATTGTATTCCAGTAGTTCTCTTCTCTGCACCGCCACAAATTCGACCACGCATAAGAGCCCCTTATCCTATAACCGTAAATCAACATCAGGAATCTTGCCGCCGAGTTGACTGAGTGTGTTGCTGCGCCGTAATGTGAAAACCTTAAAACATAAACTTTTAGTGGCTGTGGCCGAACTATTGGATTGCAATTCCCAGTATGTCCATTTACCATTCCTGGGTGAAAAAGAGTATACTGAGTCCAAAGTTGAATTTGTAGTGCCCGCTGTGTGATTGGATTGCGACACGGAATCTTGGTTCACTGTGAAGTAGACCATAGTCATTCCGAGCACAAGGATTGTGTCACTGCGCAACCCGGCACCTGAAAGACCGGGTCTGTCTAGTGACTCTTCTATTCCCGCCTCCCATTGAACTCCCAAACGATCCTATCACATACACAACAACTGGCACTCCGGCGTGTCAAACTGATCCTCTCTATCAGCCTAATCCTTCACAACTGTTTGACCAGTAGCAAAAAAAAATACGAGCATCACTATGCGTAACTGCAAGGCCTAAAACCTTTCACTTGTCCCTAGTTCACTGTTAAGTCAGGGAGTGATATGTAAACCTCTCACTTACTCGTTTGCAATAACGTTGTCACTTTACATTTCAGCTTACATGCCTCAATAGTTTACTGAACAAAGCCTACTCACTCAAAAGCCTATACTCTTTTCATTCGTTGTATTTCATTCAATCCCACTACACGCATAATCATGGCTGGTGCCGTTTGTTGTCTTTTTACATTGAGATGAGTGGTTGGTACTAAGGAAGCTAGCAAAGATGGCTCTAGAATGTGCGATAAGAAACTCACGGAAGATAAATCAAACAAGACAATCAAATGGTTCCAACATCGACTCGCCACGACCAGAATAGTAAAGATAGCCAAAAAGAAAGTGACTGCGGAGTTTGGGGCATTCGTCATTCTCTCGAAGTGCCAGATAGAGATCAGGAGTACCTGCAATGATGAAGAGAACGTGAGTTATGTTATGTTACAGAGTAATAGGGACATGGAACAAGCCAAATGCCAAAGTAAAAATGCACATCATTGTTGCATGGTGTTCGGTAGCGGAATGGCAACGTGCTGACGCGTTTATGTATTTCCTACTCTAGGACAGGGTATAACGGCTTACATTGGACTCTAGGCATTTGGTTTCGGCAGAAGTCCTATAGTCTACAAATCAGCTCCCAAAAATGACACAGTCGTCTAAGATGGACACTGCATAGCCACAGAGGACAGTGAGTTTCGGACATCAGCTAGGTCATATTTAAAATGTATCTACTTGAGATCAGGCAACCGAAAAGTCTGATACCTGAACTCAGTGGCCAGTAGCCACAAGAACATAGATGATGTCGCGAGGTATAAAATTAGCGGTTGTTTCCCACGATATAAAAGTAGCCTAGGCCAAATACAGACGAGCTATAGGCCCACCAGCAATACCACTACTTGCCTGAACATTGGAAACCCTCTCGATGGATATCTGCTGATTATCAGAGACCCGCCTGCAAGACTCGAGCTCTGTGATCACTCTGAGATCCCCTTCAGGTGACACCAGCAGCATTTTCTCATTGCGCCTATCCGGTGACGATGCAGCTTCGAGCACCATCCAAGCCGGTGTTAGTATTGCTCTGAGTCCCCGGGCTGAAGCTGCTCTGGTTGATTGGATTCCAATCAGTAGCCGGATGTGTGCGGTCCGATTGGCTGGCTCGTTCAAAGCTTCGAAGTCGCGCGGGACTAATAGGTCTCTATTCATCATCGCTGCCTACGCGCCCACAAACAGTAGCGATGAATCGGTTAAGAACGACTTTTACCGCCAACTGACCCAGCTCCTTCGCCCCAGAAGAAGCACGGACACTGCCGTGCGGGGGGGGGGATTTGAACGCACAAGTTGGAAAGTTGTCCCCTGATGAAATGCATCTGGGCGGTCAGCACGGTGTAGGCTCCCGTAATGATAACGGTGAAGATGCCTATTTATTTCTAACGAGCACTAACTTCTGACACAACACCCGCTGGAGGGTGACTTGGCGCCCACCAGCCTCGAACCAACCTTGGACGCAAATCGATCACATTGCTATCAGTTACCGTTGGAGAGGCTACATCCAGAACTGTCGCTCGATTTTGAGCACATGTGTGGACACCGACCATGTACTTGTATATGCTGACATGCGGATGCGTTTTGGCGGACGCCCACAAGGACGCTGTGGGCGCATTGATACCAGACAACTGACAAAGCCAGCTGTTCTGAATGCCCATCAAAGTACGCTGTCATGCGAGTTGAGTAAGCGCTCACCGGAGACTATTGAAGCTCACTGGTCTCATATTCACCAGACCTCACTAGCAGGAGGAAAATCCTTATGTGGTAAATCAAATCGCCAACATGGATATTTGTTCTCTTCGCAGTCTCTGGAAGTTATCGATGCTCTCCGGCATATTCCGGCTGGAAGCGAATACAATGAAACTCGCAAAGAGCTCCGGGCAAGACTCCGTGCTAGCCTGAAGAGAGACCGCGAAGTTTGGTGGTCTCATCATACGTCAGAGATGGAAGCGGCCGCTGCCGTTGGCAACCATCCTAAGTTATTCCGTCTGATACGGGAAACGGGCAGCAGAAGACCTGGTGTTAGTGAAACTATATGTGACGAGAGTGGACAGCCTATCCACAACTTGTCAAGACGCTTGGAGCGTTGGGCTGAGCAGTTTGAAAAGCAATTTAATCGGCTAGAATTGTTCGATTCGCCGGTCACTGATCGCCCTGCTCCGTGGGCTGTCCCTTTGGATCCACCCTCTCGCTCAGAAGTCGAACGTGAGATCAGACTGTTGAAGTTGAACAAAGCCGCGGGACCTGATGATCTTCCTCCAGCCCTCTTCAACTTCAGAGACTCTGCTGTTGTTGATGCTTTACATGAACTACTAGTGAAACTGTGACAGCAGGAGACTGTCCAAACCGACTGGAGATGCTCTGTTATTGTTCCCATCTTCAAAGGAGGCTCGCGTTCGGAATGCAGCAACCATAGAGGAATCAGTCTGATCTGCATCGCCTCCAAATTACTCGCCTCCATAATCCTTTACAGACTGACTGGCGCTCGTGAAAGTCAGATTCGTGAGGAGCAAACCGGGTTTCGTCGGGGTCGGGGCTGTATCGACCACATCTTCACATTGCGTCAGTTGTTGGAGCATCGTCACACATATTGGCGGCCCACCGTAGTCGTGTTCCTCGACATCAAAGGTACCTTCGATTCGGTTGATCGATGTGCCCTTTGGAATTGTTTACTCAGGAAAGGTGTGCTCGAGAAGTATGTAAATATTATCCGAGCATTATATGTGCGTAGCACGGGCAGGGTGAGGGCTTACGGCAAGCTGTCGCCACCCTTCAATATCTCCAGCGGTGTGAGACAAGAATGCCCGCTGTCACCTTTCCTTTTCAACTTCGCTATTGACGAAGTCATGGAGATTGCATTTACTGGACATGACTTGGAAGGTGTGGAGCTATGCTCAGGAGAACGACTTCTTGAGTTGGAGTATGCAGACGACATTGCCCTCATCTGTGACAGCTCACAAACGTGACAAGCCGCGCTGGACAGATTAGCACTGGCTGTCCGTCACTTCGGGCTTTGCTTTGCACCATCGTAGTGCAAAGCGTTCGTCCAAGATTTGCCTGGACCGCTTCCTACACTGACAGTTGGTGGGGATCAGCTAGAAGTCATTCAAAAATTCAACTACCTTGGAAGCTGTATCAGCGCGTGGGATTGAAGATGTGATCACGAACCGTATAGCAAAAGCCCGAGGCGCTTTTGCTAACCCTTGCCACTTATGGCGCCGGCGCGACATCACTCCCGCCCAAAAGGGTAGAGTGTACAATGCAGCGCTACGTTCGACCCTACTGTACGGTTGTGAAACCTGGCCCCTTAGATCAACGGACATAAAGAGGCTAGTTACATTCGACCACCGGTGCCTTCGCAATTTAGCTCACATCTGGTGGGAATACCGCGTGAGCAACGAGCGTGTTTGACGTCTCGTTTACGGCACAGGAAAAGGAAATGAACCGCTCAACACCGTCATTCCATGCACCAGGCTCCGATGGCTCGGCCACGTGTTGCGCATGCCAGCCCACCGACTTCAACGACGTGCGTTGTTTGCTCATCGGGGATGTGGTTGGAAGGAGAGGAGGAGTGGCCAAGCGATGACTTGGTCCAGAGGAATGAAGGCCTTCACTTCGGAGCTGGCCTGGATTGGAGCGTCACGGCTCCCTGGTAGGGGTCCAAAAGACGGTGAACACGTTTGGCTGGATACACTTGCTGACATTGCAAGGAGCCGACCTCAGTGGCGTTCTTGCTGTGAGCTTCTTTGTCCCTCCCCATCCCTTTTAGCCTCCCCCTCCACCTGTGATCTTATTTCGTAGCGTAAAACAATAGTTTTTCTTTTTGCCTAGTAGCCGGCTGGTAGCCTACCGGAACGATGCCTATCCGTTGCTGGTAGCTCAGTTGGCATGCAACTGTTGTATTTATTTTCCTTTTCCTTCATATGTTGCGGCACAGTAGCTGAGGTGTTTCCCCCTCTAGCTGACGTGTATAATGATGATGATGATGGCAAGTGCCTAATCAATGTATTTTTGATATGCGTAGAGCTTTCGATGGAGTACCATATGGAAATATTCAATCGAAAGTACATTCCTTCAGTATAGCTGGCACTTTACATTTTTGGATGTCCTCGTAACTTTCTGGTAGGCATAAGGCAGTTGAAATATTAAGTAATACTTCCACAAGTAGACAAGTAGCGTGATCCAAGGAAGTGTTCTAGGGCCTCTTTTGTTTTTGATGTACATTAACGACGTCTTCGATGTCATCAAACACGGCAAACCATATGTATTCGCAGATGACATTAAAATTGTTTATGAGTTCGATTCGGACAATTTCATTAACGCACTAATCGACATACATGCGAATTTGCACGAGCTGGAAACTTGCTGCAGCAAGTGAAAAATAGAATTCTCATCCGAGAAGTGCAGCTGCATATGTTACCGGTGCAATAGTGTACCAGTTTCTTTGATGCTAGGCGGCAAAGTACTGTTCACCTGTCTCACAATTCGTGATCTTGGGATACACTACTCGAGCTCCTTCAATTTCGTCGAGCAGGTGTAGTCTACGGCTGTAAAAGCCCGTAAACTAGGAGGGCTAATACTAAAATGTTTTATTTTAATGGAATCCAAATCTACCTATATAAAACTAATATTCGTCCCCTACTCGAATATTGATCATTAATATACTCCAACCTGAGAAAGAGTGATAGAATAACGACAGAAAATGTACACTGTTACTTTACGAAGCGCCTAATGAGAAACGCGGGTGATCTTACTATGACCGTTGCTGTGAGATGAACATAGAACCTCTCTAGTTAAGGAGACTAAAACAACCTGAACTTCATGTTAGATATAATCCACAAACGGGTTTTTACCTCAGATATTGAAGTTGTAGTTCAACCTTCCTTCAAGTACAATAAAAGCAATAGGGATAGAACGTTACAAATCGAAAAGACACGACCTAGCTTAAGATCAAATTTCTTTCTTAACCGCTATGCAGTTAGGTGGAGCAAACTACCGCAGAATCTGAGAATGTGTGATAGAGTTTTTCGTACTCTAGTTAACATGGAATTGACAGTGAATAGAGGGATATGCTTAACATAGACGTGAGTATAGCCATGTTGTATGAGGAAGGGTCGAGCGCCATATAGCAAATGACAAAATTCTCTGATTCGAAGTCAACCCACTTCTACTGCATTTTTATTTATAAAGCAAATTTGTTCCGCACTTCTAAATAAGTTTCTTTTCTGTCTGGGGAAATCAACAAACAAATTACGGAGTGATTACCGAAACCCGTCGAGATCATTCCCTACACACCTCGGCTGCCCTTTATGGTTGAACCGCTAAAACATCGACTCGTGAACGCTTGTCTTAAGAAGGGATT